AGGATCAAAATAGCGCCATGTAGGTACCCATGTGGAGCAGTTTTTTTTTTTTGGTTTTCTTTCTTTGCTTTGTTCGTCTTTTGTTAAAGGTGCAAAATTGCGCCATGTAGAGAGATTAGTGCGAGAGATATCGGTGCGGGGTGGGGGGAGTGGGGAGAGAGAGAGAGAGAGAGAGAGAGAGAGAGAGAGAGAGAGAGAGAGAGAGAGAGAGAGAGAGAGAGAGAGAGAGATTGCATCCGACAGTTCCCTTCTTATTTGTTTTTGCTAGCGAACCCACAACAGGTCGTCTAGTTTGAAAAAAAATCAATGATTAGTGGCGTGTTTATGACTTGTGAAGCCTCCATGAAGTTTGTGGAAAAGGGGAATGGTAAAAAAATTAAGGATGGAGTGGGAACACTGAGTGGGTCAGTCAATAACAATCAGAATCAACCAATCAACCAATCAACTAATTAATTAGTCAATCAACCTATGAAGTCTGATGAAGAGGGAAATGGTATAGAAATCGACGACAAAGAGGGATCACTGAGTAGAGGGCCACGCTATTGTGAGTCGGTCAATAAGGAAAAAATCAACCAATCAACCAACCAACCAACCAATCACCAGTCGATTTGCCAATTAATCAACCAGTCAAATCAATCGCGAAATCAATGACACCGATTGAAATATGGATTGTTGATTGAGCGGGTTTATCTCGTCCTTCCTCCCTGGCTTCTTTGCTTAGTGTGGTTGTAATCTCCCCCTTCTTCCCTATTCCCACCCCCCCACCCCCCTTTTTCCGCTTTGTATAATTTTTAAAACATATCATTTGAAACGTAACTTCTCAAGGCTTTCTTAGCGTGTACTTTTTGTGGTGCAAGTATTGCACCCTCTTGTCTGGTTGTTGTTAATAGGTACTTCTTGCGGCTGCTTTAGCCAGCATTACCGCCCAGCTGCTGAAGCCCGTCACGTCTGCGCTTACCGGTAGGGGCTTTGATTGGCGGCTGATCATGAAGTCAGGAGGGATGCCCTCTTCCCACTCAGCGGTGAGTTTCCTTTTTTCTTTCTCACCTTCTTTTCTCCCATCTTTTTTGTTTCTTTCTATAATTAGCTAATTTCCTCCTCTTTTTTGCGCGTTATCTGAGACTTGAACATGAAGAAATGTAATGTACAGAAGGCAGCCTTTCGCCCACTGCCTATAATGTACAGAAGGTAGCCTTTGGCCACTAATATACAAAAAAGGCAGTCTTTCCAGGTGTAAGGTGGATGATGGGTCAATTACTAAATCTAACCCAAAGGGCTACAATTCACTAGTGGCAGAACCGAAGCTCGAATTCTCACCAGTTGGATGATGGTCAGCCGTGCAGATCGTTATCTTGACGGATGACAATTAGTTGGGCGGAATTAAAGCTGTGAGCTTACTCTGCCACAAATGGATCCTTAGCCTAGGAGTCATCGGATTCCTTGTAAAGGAAAGTTGTAGATGGAGATGGAGAGAGATACAATGCAATCCATGGATGTATGGTGATGGCCAATGTGTGTCACTGTAGAAATATTTATTTATAAGGAATCATCCCACTAAGATTACAAGATGACAAATGTAATGACCTGTAAAGTTGCAGACAAAGAAATCTGTTGTTATTGCTGCTTGATGAGTGATCTGCTGAGATTTCAGTGTTTTTTTGTGACTTTTTGTGTTTGAGTGCTTGTTGATATCCCGTGTGTTACCCGCCTGTCTGAGAACCAATGCGTTTTTGCGCGGTGTCGCACTTTCCCCAGTCAGACCACTTCTGATGACCAGAAAACCAACAGGCTGTCACGCAGGATTTTTATGACTTCTGCAATAAATAAATAAATTAAATAAATCAAATCCCTTACTGTTATGTGCGTTCGGCTTCGAGCGAGACCCTTCAATTACGTTCTTTGCCGGTCCCCGTTTTTATGAATCTTTTATTATGATTCGAAAAAGCAGAGATCACGCACATAATAATTATGGAATTTTAATGTGTCATGCATGTCTCAAGTTTGCTAATTTACAAATTTTGAGAATTGTGACAAGATCATCAGGAAGCATAATTTCAAGCAAAGTCAATGTTAAACGAATCAAGACCGACTGACTCAAGGCAAAGACAAGATACATGAGGGAAGGTGAGAACTCGTAATAATCTTAGAAAGTACAGATGAATAGACATGGCCAGCACTGGTCAAGAGTCCTCCCTCTCCCTCTCAAGTTTCGTCTTCAATCTCTCATTTGACTATGCGTCTCTTGTGCCTTGAGCCACGTCTACATACTTCCTGAGATTTTGGCCTAGAGATGTAGAGCCACCTAAAGCTTGCAAGTTCCAAATACGTCCAGCCAAGACCAAAGATACGGAAGTCAAGCATAGCACATAACTCCTCCCATAGAGTAGGAAGATATGGTGTGGAGAAGATCCCTCGTCTGAGATGCCGAAACTTTGAGGGCTCGGTCACTGCCTTGTAGTCATTCTCTGCGGGAGAGAACTTTTGGCCAAATTAACCAAGTCAGGCTTGGGATAATTACAGTAGAGCTTGGGCCCAAAGCTATGGATCAACTTTGCGCCACTCTCATCAAGCTCTTTCTCTTCTCCTCTCAAGATATTTGGCTGCTGAGATCCAGACTGAATCAAAGTGCTAATGAGTTTCCTTGCCTTTCTTTGTATAGATCCTCAGATCTGGGATAGTCCTTCAAAGAACGCAGGGAGAATGACAAAGATTGACAAATCTTCTTGTTTGAAACCGACTGCATTGACATATCGTAATTGGAAAGCAGACGAAGATTGACAAATTTTCTTTTTTGAAACCGATTGCACTGACATATTAGTATTGGGAAGCATCCTTGAGAGCAATCTTGTTGAGACTGGTAAAAAATGACTCATTGACTGGAAATGACTGAACTGTACTCGTGTGCAGAGATGAATACTGAAACTGATCTGAATGTCTCAGAAGTAAGTACTGACTAACTTATGTTGGTCTGGAAACAGTTTGATAGAGACTGTCTGATGGTTGACTTTGATAGTTGTTCTGTTGTGGAGATATTGGATAGCTCACTCTGAAACTGCGAAGAAGAATCTGATTGAAAGAGTAGATACCCTCTGAGGCCTCTTGAACTCGGTCAACAATTATCTGTCCGAACTCTTATCTGTGATAAACCGTCCAAACCTGGACTGAAACACACAGCTGATTTATGAGTTTTGCTCATAGACTGAATGCCGTACTGAGTTCCCCGCCTGCTGAGTCTGTGTGCGTGTGTGCTTGCTGGACTGCATATTTACCCCCCTACGGGGTGTGGTACCGGCCTACCCGCTACTTGAGTGCTTTTTTTGTAGCAGGGGAAAAAGCACTCAAGTAGCGGGTAGGCCGGTACCGCACCCGGTAGGGGGGTAAATATGCAGGTACCGGAGGCCGAGCAGAAGAAGACAAAAGTGGCATTTTGAGATGCCGGTAGTGTAGGCTAGGTCTAGCGGAGACCAGCATGAGTCTAGGGCCTGTAGGGGCAATATCAGAGTCTGCAATGATGTTCCCTCCAAAAGAGGAGGAGGTACCGGTTGCTTGGGAAGGCCAGCGGCCTGGAAGTCACCGCTCAAGAGGCAAGCAGGCCGCTATATCTTCTGGCCGGGCGGAAGACCCGACCTCTTTTTCGGTGAGCAAGTTTGGCGACACACTGGTGGAGCGCTGGATGGAGCATCACTAGATTGGAGCTGCGCTGCTGGGGAGGAGGAAGAAGGACTAGAGGGAGGGAGAAGGAGGAAGGAAGGAGGAAGGTGGGAGGAGCGCCAGGGGTACTTACCTGGCTATGGTGGCAGCCATCTTCATCACCTTGGTGGGCGCTGCAGCAAGGGGTCCCCAGCCGGGGAGAGCCACACCGAGAAGCTTCAAGGCAGGGTCAGGCATGGCGGCCTGAGCTAGAGTAGCCATAGCTGCTTTGCGTTGTCCTTTGGGCATCTGAGCAGAGCCCAGTAGTCCGCCATAGCCTCGGCCTATGAGAGTGAAGAGTGGGAGAGGCGGCCATGGCTATGGTGGACCTCAAGTGATACCTACAGTAGAAGAGGGACTCGGACATTGATTCTGGACCAGTCATTCAACATTGTAYTATTATTTCTTGTATGAATAAGAGGAGGGGGAGATAAGGAGGAGGAGATTGTTGGGTGAAGAAGAAGAGCCTTGTCATTGTCTTTGCTGGTGTATATCTTCTTCTTCTTCTTCCTTACTTCTTCTTCTTCTTTTTCTACTCCTCTCTCTCCTCTCAAGTTCATTCATTTCTTTTTGCAATTGGATGGCATTGTACTTTCCAGTGGATGTGTATCTCGAAATTGGCCAGGGTCATAACATATGAATCGAATGCAAAAGAGTCGCTTGTTGTCCGCAGTTGATGCTGCTGAATGTAAAAATGCTTGCTATTGGCTAAACTTGACTGCTCGGAGGGTCTTCGAACAAAATTTAGAGGTAGGCATTGCATTGGCCTAAGCCTACTGAGCGCTGATTACTTTACACGCTTGTGAACGGTCTCAAGAGATGAGATTGTGTTGTGTAGTTTCTCATCACATCCATGGATGTAGAATATAAACTCTGTATACTTGTGTCGGTTCCTTACTTCCCCAACTGCAACAACACCCCTCGTTATTGTCTTATAGTCCTCTATCTTCTCAAGCACTCTGATCTCCCAATTGTCTGTTTTATCTCCATAGAGAGTGTAGGAGATTGCTAATGTATTATCACTTCCCAGAGTCTCTCTTTCCTCTGCGCGAAGTCCCATTGCAGTAACCATTGAGCAAGAGACTAGAGAGCGTGAAAGAAAGTCTTCATTAGTTGGATGTTTGGAGAGTCGTCCAAACTCACCACTAATGATAGACTATTGATGTTGGTTGAAGAGGGCTCACGATAGTTGGCCCGCAGTCGAGACGACAATCTATGTTGAGTCACACTTATAATCAACTCGTTGTTAGCTTTTCCCAACGAAAGTCCTTAACCAAAGTTCTCAGCAGGTTGTTTTGCAGCAAGGATCATCTGTAAACCAATCATTGTTTGATCTTTCTTCTGCAGTTACCACTTTTCATGTGATCTGAAATAAGTAAATTGAGTTAAATTTAATACTAACACACATGGCAAATACTTCAAGCTATCGCTAATGACAAAACTACACGAGAGCTTTGAGATGCACGGATAATGTTGAGCATCGCTTTCTCTCGAACTGCACAGGAGTATTGTTGAGCACTACCTCAGCTTCTATATAGGGCAGGGACAATGCATGACACAATCCTTGTTTGCATACTGTGCGGAGAACTGTGGAACACTTAACTGTCGAATACACAAAACAGGTGTAACTAGAGTAACACAGGATACTACTAGCCTCAAATCAAGTTTGACTGACAAACGAACTACTATTCACAACTAGCCCTACTTGTATAATTTACTCAAAACACACGTGAAACTCGAGTGTGATATTACGAAACTCCCAAAAAAATTATACTCAAAACACACGTGAAACTCGAGTGTGATATTACGAAACTCCCAAAAAATACTCTTGAGGATTTACTGAAAAGCGGCGAGCAAACCAGTGATTATCAGATTTGCAGGTTAACCATGGAGTTAATTCGACACTTTTTGAGCCAACTCTCCGTTTCATCTCTCACTTCACTGACCACATGCAAGCTACATGAACTGGGCAATCTTCCTTTTCAGGAAGTCAGAGCAGGGCGAAAATAGATTACTCGAAAGTTATTGATCCTTTCTATAAAAAAAAAAGAACCGAAAACACTTATTCCATCCGATCGAGAAAAAAAACACTTCAGTCATGCCGGTTAGTCATCATCCAATAGTTCATTTGTAGGGCAGTTCTCATTTGCATCCCTCTTCGAGTCTCATTTTTCAAGAGAGGCCAACCAAACCGGTCACTAGATCCTATTGTTTATCGAAATGAAACCATAGGTGGCAGAACGCTTTACTGCAAGATTGTTTAGTTGCTTCACTAGTCTGAACCTGGTGAGTAATCCCCTTCATCAATTTGTTATGAACATGATTGTTTGTT